TGTGGCGAATTTGATCGCCACAGATCGCTGCGGACACATTTGGCGATTTTTTTTCGTCGATGGCGACAATGTGGCACTTAAGCCTTGATCCCAGGTTCCATCGGGTGACGTTTAAAAATTGCGCGAACCAATGTAGACACACAAAATGGCGACAGCGAAGCGAAAAAAAGTGTTGGCTGCTGCCATAATTTTGCAACGAAAACGCTGCAAGAAGCTTTTTGAAAGGCGGGACAATAGAAAATTATGGTGGAAGATATGGATTTATTAAAACAAAGTTCTTCTTAAGACGATGACTGTAGTCGCTCAACGTTACATAAAATAAGCATGGCTTTTCTGACCATAGTGTGATCAAATTGATTTCTTTTCTTCTGTTCAGAAACAATTTTCGGTGCCTTCTACGACTTTGAAAGTCATGTGATGATATATCTTCCCATTTGGTTGGTTAATTTTACTGGCGACTCGCAGTGGAAGGGGAGAAAATCGCAGGGACGAACAGACTTGGCGAATTCCGGCGAATTTGATCGCCGATATCTGACATGCCAGATATCGGCGATTTCATGCGCCGACCGTGGCGATCGGTGTATAAAATCACCAGGTGTGTCGCCGGCTTTAGGTAGGCCATGAAGATGAGCGAGCCTAGAACTCTTTGGAGAAAGTGAATTGGCAATTCCTTCAGGCAAAATTCGATGTAAAGTTTCTTGCAACTCTTTCTCTTTCTGAAGGAGAGGATGAAAATGCTTAGGTGGTCGTTCACACATTTTTGCCGATCGCTTGTTATCAACGTGTGTATATTTAGAGGTGTTGTTTCATTTTTTTTTTCTGATCATGAATTCAAGTTGGGTTAAATGTAACAGGAACAACTGTCCCATAATGTACCTAAAACTCAGTGGAATCTTCTCCAAAGTTTCCTATAGAAAAAAAAAACTTACGGCGCATTGAATAAAATTATAATAGGTATGTAAAGTGTTTCATTTGTGTAAATTAAATTTGACAAACGTCGCTGTCAAGTGCCGTTGTCCATTATTCAATTCGGTAATGTTTAATGTATGATATATACATACATTTACGAATCATTTTTTCCAAAAGATTGTGTTCGCGTCACAGAATTTCAATGATAAGGGACCCCTTAGCTCGACAGCTATACATCTGCTGTTTTTAGACATTAGTACCACAAAATCTAGCCTCGGCGATACCATTCTCAAATTAAAATTGAGTGAATAAACAGTTTATGACCAAAACTTGCATAAATTTACGTTGGAGGTCACGTATTTCAGAGGGACGTGATCACAAATCTGTTACAAAGGCCCACGTTTGCCTAAAAACGTATTGTTAAGATAAGTCTGTGCTGTGACGGTATGTTTGTCGACATACATTGTTGTCCATTGGAGATATTTACAATTACAATTCTTTTTTGGAATAGTTGCGTGACACAGTTAATGATTAACTGCTCTAAATTGGTAGAGGTTATTTCAAATTATCCCAGCTACGAGGAATTGTTACCTTGAGATTTAAACAACCATTGGACATCACAAGATTAAAATCCATCCCGTTCTGTTTTTGCGAGAGAGATTCGTTGAAAGTGCATTTTTCGAGCTATTTTTAGCCTTTCACCCCAGGGATTTGATATGGGAGCTCTAATACCCCAGGGTTTAGCCGGGAGTCCAAACTACTCTAGATTATTGAAAAACCTAATGACCAGACATGGTTTGATGCTAATCTGGTTTAAAGATTTAATGAATGCAACGAAAAAGTTACAATTCATAGACCCAACCTTTCGACACTCCTGCCTTCATCAGGGGTGATCAAGAGCTCCTTATTTATATGCTAACTAATTAGCTGCACTTTTTTTATGACGAGTTGTAAATAGGCGTCAGTTAAGAAGCCGCCATCATCGTGATTTAAAAGAGCGTGGGCGCAGTTGATATACCAGGCTTCCAAACAAAGGCGCTTGTGGTAACGTTGATTAGTATCCCACCCAATTGTATGGTTAGTTAGGAATGTGCCCTCCGACAAAGCTGAAATTTTTTTGTTTTGGCAAAAGAAGACCGCTTTTTGATGCTATTTCAAACGTGTACCAAACTAACGTTTGGTCGGTCCGATACACTCTTGATCGCAGTCATTGTATGGAATAGAATAAATAGCGTCGACTCCTTTTTCTTTCGGAACAGGATCTTTAGGTTTGGCAAAAATATGCTCTACAGTCTGAGCAACTTTGACGTTGTGGCTATTCAAAATTTACACCGCGTCAGAAAAAAGGTGCAGTTAATTAGTGAGCATATGTAAGGTCCTCTTGTTGTAGCGATTAGATTACCCCTGATTAAGGCACTAGACAGGAGTGTCAAAACGTTGGGTCTATGAATTTCAACTTTTTGGTTACATTCATTAAATCTTAAAACCAGAGCAGCATCAAACCATGTCTGAATGTCCACCTGGTTGCCTTATGAACTTCAATATAACCTAGTGACCCTCACAAAGTGTTAAAGTTTGAGAGAAATCTGCGAGATAGCATGTATCACGCTGTCACGGTCATCTCGTGAAGACTCATAAATACGCTGGATAATAGAACGAGAATTTGAAACTAGATTTTTTCATCCCACACCTTTGTCGTCACAATTTGGTGATTGAGGTGATTCTTCAGTTTTGCACTGCACATCCTGCACTGTGCATAAAAATCACGTAGTCGGAGAAATGAGCGCCCGAGCATTCCGAGAACATGGTATTTTTTTCAATCCATGGACCGGGTAAAGAGGTACCATACTCTTTAGTTCTTGAACGAGCACAGTGACCCATATATACATATCTATTTTTTTTGCATAATTTTGGTGTACAGTTGATTCCCTTTAAATTGGGGAAATTCTTCGAAGGGAAAAAAAGATGAAGCTAAAAGCGTACACGAAGCCCGTTACTCGAGGATGCAAATCATGACCTTGAAAGGAACGACTCGTGGAACGATTTGAGTCAATATCGTTTCGGTTTGCGTGATTTTCCCACAAATTATATATCCAATTGTTCCTTAGCTCGAGACTTTCTACTTATCAAGTTGTCTCAAGTGTTACTTTCAAAAACCCTTGCTTCCAGCCGCAGCAAAATGGACCGTGACCAATGGAATGACGCGCGTGATTAGTACAGGCATAAATTGGGTAAGTTTGGCCCATTAAATCTCGCAAACAAACACAGTGACTATCTTTCTTATTGTATTTCTCGAAACAGACATTGGTAAGGAACATCAAAGGAAAGTTTGAAAACAATGGTTCGATAACCTATTTTTCTAAGGAATCACCTTAAAAGATGATAAAGATGAGCCGAGGTAAACAAACCGGAGAAATGCACGGCACAACTTCGGTTTCCCTTGCAACGACTTCAGATGCGGCCGTATCGTCAACGTACTTCCATACATTAGTTAAATTATAAACATCTGAATCATTTAAAAGTACAAGAAATAGCTATGGGCCTAGTTTTGTTCCCTGTAGGACCCCGGGAGGCACTGAATCCCACTTGGAGTAACAGCCCTCAGATAGTTTGATTCTTTGGTTTAACAATGCAACCTCTTTAAGAGAAACACAGGAGACTTTCAAGGGTTTTCTCGAGATAAATTTTATTTTTGCTTGTTTGGAATGGCTACATAGCTGATAATCAGTTGCAAACATTCTTTCCCTTAAGAAAGACTTAACGTTGAGTGTGACATTGCGTCTGTTTTTTCGATACAATAGTCCTTGAATGCAATTGTCCCAGTCCAAACTATTTTCGATCTCTCAAGTAACTGACCATAGATAGGGTTTCTGTTAAGGGTCCTAGTCAACCACAGGACATTGCGCGCTTAATCCGCCATTTTCTATGCCATTTAAATTCGAGGAATTTTCAAAACAAAAAACCATCGATGGTATCTCGCGTTCCTTCACATAGAAAGCCTAGAGCCTCGGAGCAGACTAAAAATTTCAACCTGTGGAATGACAGGAAAGATATTCCTAGCATCAGAGATCTAACTAATGGCCAATTTGCAGATATTTTTCTGCATCAAAGCGTGGACAAGCTTCGCGCAGGATGCATATCATAAGAAGCAAGTGACCAGAAAAAAAAATTAAAGTATTGACGAGCCTGTGTGACACTCCTGGCATCTGCAAGCGATTTTAAACTTCTGTCGTCATAGATTAGTTTAGATCAGGATACATTTTGATGATCTTTTCCCAATGTAATTTTTAAATGAGGCGCCATTTCCCCATCAATATTTTCTTGAGGTTAGGTAAAGCCGGGTGATATTGAAATGCACAAGACAACATTTCCTTCTGTGTGCTGTTTTCTTTGTTTTAAGTGACCTTCTCTACTGGAGCAGACAACTCCAGACATGTATTTCTCCAGAACTTCGTCAGGTATCCTCTTTCCCTTCTTTAGTCGTATTTTTAAGCAATGTGCGTTATTTATTAAATGTGGAGCGCGTCGGATTTGTTTTTAGGATGCGTAACGCTTCTACTTCTGCGAATCCTTTCTTTACGCCACGTAAAAACTGTTTACGGGCCGGCACGACTCCTGCCAGGCGTTGAGTTAATATGAACGAATTTCTACGCAGTTGCACGTATGTTAACAAAAACAGAAGTGTGGTTGACAAGGATCCTTTAAGATGCTACATCAAAATCTTTCCACAAATATTGAAGGTTGTGATAAATAAACCTTACAAAAGGCTTAGAAAAAAAATCAAACCAAATTTTAATGGTTCGTTTTATACCTAAACTACTGCTTTAACTTCACTGATTTCGCTTTACTTAAAAGCCTTACGTACGTTAACATTGTTTCTTGCCTATTATACCAGAAATATAAATTTTGCGTTTAAAAAAAAAAACCACTCTGAGTACTTAACCAATTTATCCTTCTGAGAATATTGGAACAGAAAGCACAAAAAAAGTGAAATAGCTCTCGATCCCTTAATTTGGGATAGCTCTTTTTTTAGTTTCATTGAAATACCGGATAGAGTATTTTCTCTACTTGTTTCTATTCAATTTATGCATCTAAAAGTCTTTTTGCTCTGTTTCCTTCGAGCAATCCTCACTATTTACTCTGTCGGGGTCCTTTTTCCTGTAAAATAGTGAAAAACATTAGACTAGCCTTGATGTGGAAGGTATCAAAGGATCCCCGCCGACAGTCAGCGACCAGTAAGTCGTAGCCACCTTCACACGTAATTTAACTTTAATTTATGAAATACATGTTCTCACCGAGTCTTACCTCTGCTCGTCAAACTCGAGCCTCACATCATCCCCAATCAGCGTAAACGAAGCCCACTCAGACACATTGGTAAGGCGGTTTTTCCTCATCCACTTCATGGCCTGATGAAGGGATTCACTAGCACTTTCTCCTTTAACAAGGTGTTCGTAGAACCGACTCATCAGGTGCTCTGTTGCTGAGTCTGAAATGGCCCACAGTGCAACCAACACCGAGCGAGCACCGGATCCTAAGAACGCACGGGCAATTCCTATAACTCCCTCGGCTCTTATCTCTCCACTTCCACTGTGACAGCAGCTAAGTACCACAAGTTTAGCTCTGACTTTCACTCGCGAGACATCAGCCATCGTCAACATGTAGGCTTCCTGTGGTGGAAAAGCGTTTCGACTGTTGGCAGTAGGAATGGGAGAGAGGGCAATTTTTCCCCTTTCAGCGTCACCATGGGCAGCAAAATGTATCAGGCTCACTGAACTTATCCGCTTTAGAACCGCCTGCTTCGTTGCGTTCTCGTCTACCAGTGGCGGAACACCCATAAGTCGTCCGACCATCTCCGCTTCCTTTCTTGCACCTGGCAATTGCGGCAGCCAATCCACCTTGGGATTGCCTATTATCAAGGCACCAGTGTTGATGTGATAGTCCTCTGGACTATCTTGAATGATCTTGAGCGTCGTCAAAGAAGGAATGACACGGATCCTATGAGTCTCCGACAGGTATTCGGCTCCCTCCTTTTCACTCAGGGCAGCAAAGGGCACTTTGTACAACCTGCGGTCAGGAACAATAATGACTTCAGGCTCCTCAAGCAAATCATAAACGGGGGCAATAAACATTTTATAACACAAAGAAAGACTTGAAATGACTTTCTCGTCCTCGTCCTCCTCCACAAGCCGCAATCTTGCTGAGCTTTTTTGTTGGGGGGAGAGAGGTTGCAATTCAACCATGTTTAAAGACCGATCTTCACAATCTTCAATGGGCAAAATACCAAGACTCCGGAAGTTATCAGCCAAAAATTCACTCAGAGGCTTGTCTTTGGGCAACCCAGCCTGAACTAGAATCTCTTCAAGTGATATTCTTTTATAGTGAAGGACTCCACTTGTTTTCAAGATCCACAAACTCAGATGATTGTGAAAATAAGAAATGTACAGACAAGTACAGTTACTTTCCTTTCTAAAAATGCTTTCAATGCCAAACCAAGATTGTGGATTAGCAGAAATATGCGTTGTAACCAAGTACTTCTCTGCCATCAAGTCTGATAGACCTCTAGCTCGACCCAACTCCTCAACATAAAGAGCATCACGAGTTTTTCCGGTGCCACAAAGCAAAGTACAAAGCAGTTTGTAGGGAAATATTCCTGAGTTTTCCAGAAATGAAGTTTTGAACTGATCATTGGCACCCAAGAAAGATCTAAGCTCATCGTACTTTTCAATGCACAGATGAAGACACGACAAGGCGTCTTTGATTTTCTTTTGAAATAAATACAAAATAGCGCATTCTTGAAGAATTTCGAACACTTTTCTTCTATTTCCAATATCTCTGGATATAGATAAGGCTTTCTCCAAGTATACTTCTGAAGCTTCATAATCTCCAACAGTTCTGGATATAATTCCAAGATTTGCAAGATCTGCTGCTTCCCCTTGTCTATCACCAATTTCAGTTCTGATGTTAAGCGCTTTCTGGAAATATTCTACAGCCTTCTCGCACTGCTCGAGAAACCCAAACACAGTTCCAAGGTTTCCGTAGTCAGATGCTTCTCCTTTCCTGTCGCCAATTTCAATTCTGATAGCAAGCGCTTTCTGGAGATACTCTTTAGCATCGTCGTATAGCCTAAGCGACAGAAACGTAGTACCTAGGTTTCCGTAGACACTTGCCTCTCCTTCTCTGTCGCCAATTTCAGTTCTGATGACAAGCGCTTTTTGGAAATACTCTTTAGCTTTGTCATGTTGCCCGAGCGACTCAAACACAGCACCTAGGTTTTCGTAGTCAGTTGCCTCTCCTTTTCTTTCGCCAATTTCAGTTCTGATGACGAGCGCTTTTTGGAAATACTCTATAGCCTCGTTGTATTGCCCGACCGACATAAACAAAGTACCTAGGTTTCCGTAGTCGGCTGCTTCTCCTCCTCGGTCGCCAATCTCAGTTCTGATGACAAGCGCTTTTTGGAGATACTTCTTAGCATCGTCGTTTTGCCCGATCAAATTAAACACAGAACCTAGGTTTCCATAACATGATGCTTCCCCTTCTCTGTTGCCAATTTCAGTGTTGATGACTAGCGCTTTTTGGAGATATTCTTTAGCATTGTGGTATTGCCCGAGCGATATACACACGGTACCTAGGTTACTGTAGTTAACGGCCTCTCCTTCCCTGTCGCCAATTTCAGTTCTAATGACAAGTGCTTTTTGGAGATACTCTTTTGCCTTGTCGTATTGCCCTTGCGACATAAGCACAGTAGCTTGGGTTCCATAACATGATGCCTCTCCTTCCCTGTCGCCAATTTCTGTTTTGATGAACAGTGCCTTTTCAAGACACTCTTTCGCCTTGTCGTATTGCCCGAGCGACTTAAACACAGCACCTAGGTTTTTATAGCTTGATGCCTCTCCTTTTTTGTCTCCAATCTCAGTTTTGATGACAAGCGCTTTTTGGATATACTCTTTAGCCTTGTCGTATTGCCCGAGACACTTGAACACATTACCAAGGTTTCCATAACATGATGCCTCTCCGTTTCTGTCGCCAATTTCAGTTCTAATGACAAGCGTTTTTTTTAGATACTCTTTAGCCTCGTCGTATTGCCCGAGAGACTTAAACACATTACCAAGGTTTTCATAACATGATGCCTCTCCGTGTCTGTCGCCAGTTTCAGTTGTATTGACGAGGGCTTTCTCGAGATACTCTTTAGCCTTCTCGTATTGCCCGTGCGACATGAACACATTAGCTAGGGTTTCATAACAAAATGCCTCTCCCTTTTTGTCGCCAATCTCGGTTTTGATGACAAGAGCTTTTTGGAGATACTCTTTAAAATTGTCGTATAGCCCGAGCGAATAAAACACAGTACCTAGGATTAAGTAGTCAATTGCTTCTTCTTTTCTATCACCAGTTTCAGTTCTGATGACAAGGGCTTTTTGGAGGTACTCTTTAGCATTGTCGTATTGCCCGAGCGAATGAAACACAGTACCTAGGCTTTCGTAGTTAGCTGCTTCTCCTTTTCTGTCACCAATTTCAGTTCTGATGACAACGGCTTTTTGGAGATACGCTTCAGCATTGTCGTATTGCCCGAGCACCGTTAACAAATAACCTAGGATTCCATTAGATACTGCCTCTCCGTTTCTGTCGCCAATCTCAGTTTTGATGACGAGGGATTTTTGGAAATACTCTTTAGCCTTGTCGTATTGCCCGAGCGATATGAATACAGTACCTAGGCTTCTGTAGTCATCTGCTTCTCCTACCCTGTCGCCAATTTCAGTTCTAATAACAAGGGCTTTTTCAAAATACTCTTTAGCATTGTCGTATTGCCCAAGCGAATAAAACACAGTACCTAGGTTTCCGTAGTCAGCTGCTTCTCCTCTTCTGTCGCCAATCTCAGTTCTGATGACAAGTGCTTTTTGGAGATACTCTTTGGCATTGTCGTATCGTCCGAGCGACTTAAGCACAGTACCTAGCTTTCCATTACATAATGACTCTTTCTTTCTGTCGCCAATCTCAGTTCTGATGACAAGCGCATTTTGGAGATACTCTTTAGCTTTGTCGTATTGCCTAAGTGACATAAACACTGTACCTAGGTTTTCGTAGTAAGTTGCTTCTCCTTTTCTGTCGCCTATTTCAGTTCTGATTGCAAGCGCTTCATGGAGATACTCTTTAGCGTTGTCGTATTGCCTAAGGGAATGAAACACAGTAGCTAGGTTTGCGTAGTCAGCTGCTTCTCCTTTTCTGTCGCCAATTTCAGTTCTAATGACAAGGGCTTTTTTAAGATACTCTTTGGCATTGTCGTATCGTCCGAGTGACTTAAACATAGTACCTAGGTTTCCATGACATGATGCCTCTCCCTTTCTGTCGCCAATCTCAGTTCTGATGGCAAGGGATTTTTGGAGATACTCTTTAGCATTGTCGTATCGCCCTAACGAATGAAACACAGTAGCTAGGTTTGCGTAGTCAGCTGCTTCTCCTTTTCTGTCGCCAATTTCAGTTCTAATGACAAGGGCTTTTTTAAGATACTCTTTGGCATTGTCGTATCGTCCGAGTGACTTAAACATAGCACCTAGGTTTCCATGACATGATGCCTCTCCCTTTCTGTCGCCAATCTCAGTTCTGATGGCAAGGGATTTTTGGAAATACTCTATGGCCTTGTCGTATTGCCCGAGCGAATAAAACACAGTACCTAGGTTTCCGTAGTCAGCTGCCTCTCCTTCTCTGTCGCCAATTTCAGTTCTAATGACAAGGGCTTTTTTAAGATACTCTTTGGCATTGTTGTATCGTCCGAGTGACTTAAACATAGTACCTAGGATTCCATGACATGATGCCTCTCCCTCTCTGTCGCCAATCTCAGTTCTGATGACAAGGGATTTTTGGAGATACTCTTTAGCATTGTCGTATCGCCCTAGCGAATGAAACACAGTAGCTAGGCTTTCGTAGTCAGCTGCTTCTCCTCTTCTGTCGCCAATTTCAGTTCTGATGACAAGCGCTTTTTGGAGATACTCTGTAGCATTGTTGTATTGCCCGATCGAATGAAACACAGTTGCTAGGTTTCCGTAGTCAGCTGCTTCTCCTTTTCTGTCGCCAATCTCAGTACTGATGACAAGCGCTTTTTGGAGATACTCTTTAGCTTTGTCGTATTGCCCGAGCGAATAAAACACAACACCGAGGTATCCGTAGTCAGCTGCTTCTCCTTTTCTGTCGCCAATTTCAGTTCTGATTACAAGGGATTTTTGCAGACACTCTTTAGCATTGTCGTATTGCCCGAGCGAATGAAACACATTAGCTAGGTTTTTGTAGTCAGCTGCTTCTCCTCTTCTGTCGCCAATCTCAGTTCTGATGACAAGGGATTTTTGGAAATACTCTTTAGCCTTGTTGTATTGCCTGTGCGACTTAAACACAGTACCAAGGTTTCCGTAGTCAGCTGCTTCTCCTTCTTTGTCGCCAATCTCATTTCTGATGACAAGGGATTTTTGGATATACTCTTTAGCCTTGTCGTATTGCCCGAGATAGTCAAACACATTACCAAATTTACTATAACATGATGCCTCCCCTTTCCTGTCGCCAGTCTCAGCTTTGATGACAAGCGCTTTTTGGAGATACTCTTTGGCATTGTCGTATTGCTCGAGCGACATAAACACAGTACCTAGGTTTCCGTAGTTAGCTGCTTCTCCTTCTTTGTCGCCAATTTCAGTTATGATGACAAGGGATTTTTGGAGATATTCTTTAGCCTTGTCGTATTTTTCGAGAAATGCGAACACATTACCAAGTTTTCTATAACACGATGCCTCTCCTTTCCTGTCGCCAATCTTAGCTTTGATGACGAGCGCTTTTTGGAAATACTCTTTAGCATTGTCGTATTGCCCGAGCCAATAAAACATATTACCTAGGTTTTCGTAGTCAGCTGCCTCTCCTTTCCTGTCGCCAATTTCCGTTCTGATGACAAGCGCTTTGTGGAGATACTCTTTTGCCTTGTCCCATTCCCCGAGCGACCAAAGTAAAGATCCTAGGTTTCCGTAACAGGATGCTTCTCCTCTTCTGTCGCCAATTTCGGTTCTTATGGTAAGGGCTCTCTCAACATACTCCTTTGCTTTTAGTTTTTCGCCAAGTGTGTAATACATAATTCCAAATCTTTCGCAGGCATTTGCTTCTCCAATTTTTTCACCAGTTTGTTTCTTTATATTAACTGCTTTTTCATAAAGTTGTTTCGCATCTGTAAACCTGTTTTGACTCTCAAAAACCATTGCTAGAACCATGCTTGCATCTCCCTCTTTTACTAAGTCACCAGACTCCGCACCTATGTAGTCAGAGATACGACAGCAAGCTCTGAAAAGAAGTAAATTGAAGGCGCTGTGAAATTGTTGCAGTTGCGAAATGAATTGGTCTTTGCTGTTTTGATCGGCGTTATGTAGTAAAATCAAACATTCGCTGCATATCCCAATGGCTTTCTGTATGCGATCTGAGTTGAGCAGGAACTCAGCAACCGGTAAAGCGATGTTCATGAAAGCTATCATGGCTTCTGTCGTCAGCTTTCCATTGCCATCCTCTCCTGTTATTAGGGAAACATTAGTTCTTGTAACACAAGTTAACCAAATGGTTTGATAATCTGGATTCATAATGAGTCATTGCAAACAAGAAACCATATGCGAAGTTAGAAAAAAATACGCTAAGTCGATTACAGCTGGAGATTTTTTGTACCGAGCTGAAAGTGTTAGAATTCACAGTATCGACTTAAAACAAAAAAATTAGTGAAGAAGAGGCGTGGATAAGTAGAACTAGAGTACATCAACGAATCACAATCGGTGAAACTTGTCAAATTAATTTGATCACGGTTTTTAGAAAACTATTTACTACTAGAAAGTGAACTATTATCCAAATGATTTTTAATCTAGCTGTTTCGTTTACTCATCATGTCAAGCATAAAGAAAAAAATGACGCACGCCCGAGTTTGACTAACGGTTGTACGTCGGGGGGTCGTGCCATCAATTAAGAGGTTTTTGAAAGGTTGTGGGTTTCTTAAAAAAACAAGAAGGATTGGTAAACCTTTTACTGCAACTTTCTAGGAACATTTGAAAATGTTGTTCGAGCAGTTAATCACCATATAATGAGTTTACTTATCTGAAGATTATATGGCTGAAAATGAATCTATTCGTAACTTATGAAGATAATTGCAAAGATTTGAGGTAGTAATGGTTTTACAAACTCGGTTTGTTACCTTTCATAATACTGAAGTTGTGATTTTTGCACTACAGGCATGACTTAAAAGTCAATGGACAAAGATAAACAAAACAGCTTTTATATTAACTTTTTCTATGAGAACTTTCCCCATGCATAGTTTCTAAAGGAAACATTAATCAACGTGGTAATTTTCTAAACAAACTTTGGTGGGGTATTGCAAAATAATTTGGCTTTACCAACTGAGTTGACAATGTAAATTGGCCATCGTAATTAGTGTTTTTGAAGCTGACGTTTCGAGCGTAGCATTTTTTCATCTTAAGAGATTGTTATTCGAGGATTGTCGATTCATTTATTTTCATTTATTAATGAAGTCGGCTTTTCTTCCCAGCAAAGGGTTACTGTGTTTATATGATAAACAAAATAATACATGATTGCTTGTAGATGTGGAATTTTTCTTCTCGTGTTTAACTCGAAGAGAAATTCCATATCTACGCGCGCCCATGTATTATTCTCTGTGTATGCCTTGTATGCCAAGTATGCCAATGTCTTAGTTGAAAAACGTACACTTGTTGAAAAAAGCAAAATCGTAAATCTGAAACCAAACTGCATATACTCTATGCAATCTATTGAACAACACTACTACCGTGAGACTGAAGAACAAAACTCTAATGGTGCAAACTGCTTGTGAAGAAAGACGCCATGTTGGATTCACTTGATTCCAAGGAACGTAGCTACGATAACAGTACGAATGGTTTTAACTTCACGATCAGAAAGGTTAATTCTATGTTTGTTTTCATTGTAGTGGTATGGATATTCTTTTTTAATAAATACATGATCCAAAATTCTGTGTTTTTTGTGTATATTGCTAGTGTGTTATCTATTGTTTACGCAACTGTCTTGTGGGCTAATTTCTACGTAAAGTTGTTGACGTCTTCAGCAAAAGCTGCCGTGAATAGCTTCGATGAATGTAACGTATTTGAGAAAGCTGCTCAGTTATCTGTTATTGTATATGATAATAAGCTTAATAATAGCAATGATGAAACATTTTCAATACTTACAGTCTGTAACTGTAGATCTATAGATACGACAAAAATGTTTATTTTAATCGCCCTCGTACGCATGGTATTCGTGTTCGTGATCGTGAACTCCAAAGAAAAGAATTACACTTATTTTGAAGAAATCCAGGAAAGTAAGACGTTTATTTTGAACCTACATCAGAAAAAGCATACCGAAGTCTTCTCGAATGCATCTTTTTACAAATAAAGCTCGTGAAAAAATATATGCTCATGGAATCAGATGTGAGAGTAAAGGAACAACGAAATATCCCTCTTCTGCAGTCAGGAGAAAATATCGAAAGTCTAACAAATACAGGATACTGAAAATGCTAAACCAATATCCGCATGTAAAAAAGCCAAAGCAGTCGAATGCATGGAAGTCTAATTCAGTCCCAAATGTCTAGGGATATAGAAACAAACCCTGGTCCTGTTATTAATTCTACTAAAACAATTCAAGCTCCTTACAGTCAAGACAATGTGGCAATGTTTGGGTTAAATGCTGGTACACAGTGTGTAGCCAGGTCACTTGCTTTCCTCATATATATAACAAGAGGAATGGTATTGTATCCACGATGGACTTTGGTTAATATCATGAACATTGGTAATGAATTGTATTCTGGTCTATCTAGTCTATCCAGCCAATCCTATTTACTGTTAACAGATGTACCTGAAATGATAATAGTGTTTAATATTAATTATCAGCTTCAATACAGTCCAAGCTATACTGGTACTATACATGGTACTTGTGAAGTACAAGATTTCAATCATTGTATGTCATTTGCTAATGTTATGTTAAGGCTTTGCTAGGACAAAATTATAATTCCTTTCTTTTAACAATACCTAGTACTAGGGTAGGTTTTTACTGTAGTGATGGTAAGTTTGAGATATTTGATTCTCAAGGTAGAGATTCATTGTATGCCCCATCCTCGAGGAACTTGTGTACTGTTAGAAGTTAACACCTTAAATGAGCGGATAAACTATTTTCAAGGTCTTTATCAAAATCCAGATGTTTTATTTGAACTCAGAGGTGTAAATATTAATGAAAAACAATGTGATATGACAGATAATTTTCTGATCAACAGTTGTCAGCTGTCCCCCTCGAAGCAAATCATGCAGATGCTGAAATCACAACCATTCATATTCCCTTGTTATGCCGTTGTGCCACACCTTTTTATAGCATTTGTTTTTCCATTATCAAATATATTGGGTATTGGAATTCATAGGCTCTAGATAAAACCACTGACCATGCAAACAGGTTTTACAAAGAAAAACTCATTGGTGATAACCATCCACTGACTCTCAACAATTTCCTAAGGACACTTCGAATAAATAATGCAGATGATAATATTGCTTTTAATTTGGAGAAACAAGGAATACTATGCTGTACATTTCTTGGTGGCAAATTATTGCTTCAGAAGTTAATCACAGGTAATACTAAGGATAATACAGGGTTTTTAACGTGGATTTCATATTATTGCTTAAGCTGTATTTTTCAGCATAATAATATGAAAACAAAAGCAAAAAGTGTTAAGTACTATATTATAACATTCAGTCCTAATAGCACACTTGATATATTTGAAAAAATGAATGACAGAGATTTTCTTATTCAGTCATTTGTTGATATTGTTTAAAAAAACAATTCCAGAGAAAGATGTAGAATATTGTATTAAATTGATATGATGTTCAACTAATTTGTCAAATGCTGGAAGACAAAAGGTAATGGCAAAACATAAGTCTCATAGTCAGAAAGAACTACATGCAAAAAGGAAAAAAAAAATAGCTATGCACAAATGGAACCTGCCATGAAAAAACAAGTTTTGTCTAATAAAGCAATATGCTTTCCTGCAGAAAAAGAAAAGCTTTTATCTCACAGAGGTAAATGGTATAAATCACTGGATCCCGTAGAAAAAAAAAGCTTTTGTCCAAATCAGCAGATTGGTGTAAATCACTTGGTTATGCAGAAAAAACAAAATCTTTTGTCTAGCAGAGCAATTTGGTATAAATCACTAGATACTGCACAAAAATAAAAGAGGGCAGAATGGTTTAACTCGCTCAATTCTGCGCAAGGACAAAAAACAGCAGAATGGTATAAGTCATTGAATCCTGAAGAAAAAGAAAAACTTTTTTCTGGCAGAGCAGAGTGATGTAAAACACTGGATCCTACAGACAAAGATAAGATTATATCACAAGTCCAAGCTAATAAAGAAGCCCATAGACACTCAGTTCAAGATAATTTAGATCATAGGATCACAGCTTTTCAAAGTAAGATTAGGGAAGGTTCATAATATATTTGCTCTGTTTGTAACAGAATAAAATATACAAAAAAACTTTTATCCAGTTTAAAAAAAAAAATGTACAACATTCAGCAAGAACTATTTACTGAGTTGTATCCTCATGATTCCTTTCCGTCTTGGAATGACCTATCACCTGACGTGCCTGACGACAACCTTTTTTGAAATAGGTGTATGCCCTTGGCCAGACTTGAGCTACTATTTCAGTATACCAGTCCGACACCCGTAGTTACAATACACTTGATCGCAAAGATCCCGTACCATCCAGGTATCCCAGTTACCCTGCTCACAGGGTCTAGTTTGATATAAGACCGATGAATCAAATACAAGCCATAAAATCAAGGTGTGTCCTGTACAAACAAAACCGCAAACGCGTGACTAAAGGTTACATGTAGAAATTAATTAAAAATTAACGTGACTGTTCGTAACACTCTTCATTTATCTATACCGCAGAGTTTATTTGAACACTAGTTCATTTAAAAAAAATCGCAATTTTGTCGAAGTTGGGTAGCTTTACCCAAACAGGTCTTTCCGAAAGTTAAAATAAAACGAGGTTGGGTCTGCGGCATTCATGTTTTCAAGTAATAAGTCCACGCGGTAACTTTTTTAAGGTAGTTTTCAATGAGAGAACCTATCAATCATCTACAAATTACTGACCGCTGAAGTCAAGGATAAACGAACTCATAAGCTATGGTTCTTGATGCTAGCATAATGAACTGCTTTGTTTGGCCTTGGTAATTTTCATGGCTATGTTTTTATACTTTCTACTCGATTCGCCCGAACTGCAGGAAATGGTTTGTCTTCCAAAACATGGAGTCATTTCTCTTCGCACCTTATATCTAGAGTAAACCACAGTTGATGCTCGAGTAATGGTGAATATGTTTGTGATACGATATTTATCCTCTTTACGCTGGAAACTGATGAATCAGTCATCACAGTTTGTAAGAAGTGTTCGAACTGTGTTTCCTGATTGAAACGAAGTCTTGCATAATGGACATAATGTGCCCAAAAGCATTCAGGTAACTACATGGTCAGTGTATAAATAGTCGCTTACAGCTTGTAGTAGAGTATAGCGTAATTTTTTTCACTTTA